ACATGTTGAATTTTTGCTTTTTGTACAAAAAATTAATTTTTGCAGTCATAAAAATTATGTAAACAGTTTTTTTTCTTGGGAAAACTGACGATAATTTGTAAGCGAATTTTACTTTTGGAATTGTGGCATTTTATTCTCTATCTATTGGTGTAGAATCGGGCACGTTAGCTGAGTTTCTGCCTAAGATATGAGAAAAAATGTGGAGTTATGTTTGAAACGATGCCCTTTTATTGTGTACCTAAAAACAATTTTATTGCTCTTTTCAGTTCATTATTGTTTTTAATTTCTCTATTTCGCACGTCGTCTGCAAAAAAGAAAGATATTTCTATAAACACAAAAAATTTGTGATTTATTTAACATGATTTCCATTTAATTTTGAAAATCCAAACAAATTTCCCAATTCTCGCAAACCTCCTAGGAAGCGAAGGAAACATGAAAGAAAATAATAATAAAATAATTTCTATTTCAAACTTTTATCTTTATTTCCAGCCTAATAAGCACCTGGAAATACTAAAGACAAATACAAACTTATAAAGCAGTGTAAATGTGAAGTAGAATGGCATTTATATGCATTAAGCGTCCACTTGCAGTTTAGATTACGCGACTGCAGCAAAAGCAGGGTTTGCGTGGATTAATATTTAGCGTTTCCAAATTTTCTCATTTACTAGCGTGGAAAATTAATTTCTGTAGTCGACAAATATATCATTTGAGAGGAGAGTTTCTGGTGAGCACTGTTCCATTCCTCGATGTTTTTGACAATGAACTAATGCTTTTTCTCGCTAATTGATCATGTTTTGATCGTTTTCTAAGGACAATTTTCCTGTTTGTTTTCTTATGGTAATTTAACTCTCTTCTTAGCCTGGATTTCCATTATTATTGGCTACCAATCTCTAGTTTTCCTTCCATCTTGCACGTGAAAGGGCATATGCAAAATTGGTGCGACAACTGTACGAAAAAGGTGCTAATGGTAAAGTTTACCGCGAGTTAACTTGAAGTTTAACGTTTTCATCCGCCCAGTGTCGAAACAGGGCGAACGTGTGTTGGTTAGATTTTCAACTTTAGGATCGCTTAGCTCACAAACAAAAGCTGATATGATATACTAACACCATTCACGTAGCGGTTGGCAAGCACGTTCCGAATTTCAAGCGGATGTTATAAAAGGCAACTGACGACTATTCGAAGATGTAAACGGGTGTTTTGTTGCATTTTAAAGTACGATGCAGATGCCTCCAAACGATGGCTTTACAGCATGAATTTTTAATATTATTCTCAGTATATCGGCGAAAAGACCGATTCTCGCCTGCTTGCGATAAAATTGAAAATTTATAAGCAAATGCGAAAAGTTTCCTGGAAATTAACTTAGAAAATTAAACGAATCAATGAAGTTTTAGAAGCATTAATAGATACATACAGTCAAATTCATCAGGCTAGAACAGTTATAAATTATTATTCGTTCCAAATTATGTTATACCTACAAACTTACGCTAAAAGTTGTCTAACGTTTCGTTGAGCTTCGCTCGACAATGTTCGTCGAAATTGCAGTTTTTATTCCGTTAGGCAATGATAATAAGATCACGTAATGCTAAGTAAGCTCATTTATTCTATTCCGGCTTATGCACGGTTATTTCATGCAAGATCTGCACTATGGAACTCATGTGCATTTCTGTTTAATAATAATAAATCGAGCGTATTTCTCAATTTTCTGTTACATTAGGTTTATTCAAAACAGATTCTTGAATTTCATGTGGCTTATTGCCGATTTGTATACCAATCGGGATCGCAATGGGCTAGAAAAATAATCCTCGTGCCAATTTGGATTGTTCTGAACTAGTTAAGTGGCTTAACAGATGTAAATTCGTGCCATCTTCTACTAATTGGTAGAGACTAGATGAAACCATCAAACCCCACAGAGACCACACAATTGGTAAAACCATGACACCAAAAGCTTTTTCACCGCATTTATTCAATTTAAATCACCAATAGACATTACAGCAAATTACCGAAGCACTACAAGTAAAAACATGCTTAATGGATTATTCGTGTATTTAAATCCTTTAATGCATACAATTTAAAAAAAATCAAACCACGTACTCGACCTGTGAATATAAAATAATACGCAATTGGCGTTCATAGTGGATGTCCATCAAAACGTTGTAACTCGAACCAAAATATCCAGGTTTTATTATATACATATTGCAGCCAATCGACATTTAAATTAAAATTTATTGAACATATTGCAAAATTGGATACTGATTATCTTTGTATGGGAAGGCATAATAAATCGCCTGCCCCTAAATTTCACGCCATTTTTGCAATGGTGTAATTTTTCCAAAAGAATATAAATTACAGTAAATTATAGCGCATATTTGTTGTAGCGTTTTACTGAAAAAAGATTTATATTTGCGTGGGGTTAATCAAACGTGCACTGAATTCAATAGAAACGTTTTTCGTTCAATGCCAGTCGTGAATGTGATGTTAATTTAATTTTACATTACATTCACACTTTTTTCGCGAGTAATAAACCAGAATGTAATTTTTCAAATGGACGGGTTTTTTATTATTTTTTTAAATATCTAACTAATTTAATAGTTGAAATTGTTAAACGTTTGCTTGGTTTAGGCCAAAGTTGATTTGATGGATGAATTGTTCTTAACGCCATAGCCAAAACTGAATTAAAATAGACAGGAAAAATATTTTAGAGGCTTTGCAGATTGTTTGATTGCTGATTCTTTTGTGTATGAAGCTGAGTGGCTTCTAGTCAAGTGTTTTAATGGAAATGTGTGAAAGTCCTGTGAAAATGAATAAAATGTGAATTTTAATGTGAATTTTTGAATTGTTTTTCCACTGAGGCTCTAACCGCCATGTTCTGGTAATTTTCTCACTTGATATACAGGCTGTCCCGTAAACCTTTGACAATACTTCAGCTGATAAAAGGTCCCATCTTCGACAAAAAAAATTAATAAATTGTAAAAAATGGTTGTATTAAAAAAATAGTAATTTTTGAGAATTTGACAGATTTTCAAAATCGATGATAATTGATTTGTAATAATTTAATGCAATTACTCTTATGTAAAAACACGTATACAATATATTTCTTGCCTCTTAGCTTTGTTAGGCATGATGTGGATGGAATAAGGGAAACTTTGAAACTCCATTTATATTATCGAACTTTTGATCTTTACTTTAGTAAAGAGTGAACAAGTATGTTGATGCCCATAAGCATAAAAAGTAGTGTCATTCTTCTAGAGTTTGAAATGGCATAATAACAACCTATTTAATTTAATTATTAAATATTTATTTGACAATTTAGCTGATACATTTCAGTATATTCTGGAGGGCGTAGAGACAAATCTCAAAATAATTATAAATAAAAATTACACAAGAGTGGATTCATTTTCACGGACTAATAGATTGAAAGACAATGTAGTTAAGTAGATAATGTAATTAAAAAATAAAATTTTTGCAATTTGTAGTTGGAACTAAATAAATTGCGTCTTCATATTTTCTTGTTTTGTGAAAAAATTAGTTAATCTCTCAAGTATTTTTAAGCATTTTATGTTTTGTTTGTTTTTGTTTAAGCAGCTAATGTTTAATCAGTGTAAGTTTTAATTTCATTTCGTTAGTTATTTTTTGTATATTTCATTTGCTTCTGTCAATTTGTATTGTTGAAATTCATTCATTCATTGTTGCTGTAAAGATGAAAAGTTATTAGGAATCTGTACTAAAATATATTTTTTTAATTCAAAACAAACAATATTTTTTTTTTAATAGCGTTTGAACTACGACTATAGACGAAAGTGAACCAGAAAAAAAATATTATTCATGATGTTACATAAGAGTGATATCATGAAATATCAAGTGATGTCAAGTTTGAAAAAGTCTAAACATTTGAAAATCCATATTTTCTGCAATGTTATTTATTTTATTTTATGACTTGTCGGAAATTGATTTTTTTATCCGCCTATGTATTGCGAAAGTTTTACGGGACACCCTGTAAAATATACATTTTTTTGGCTCAATCTCTACTTCCACATTTCCTTGTTTTGTGAAGAAATCAGTGAGTTTCAAAGCATTTCATAGGACTAATACAAGCTAGTGAAAAGTTAAATGACATTTCATATGATTTTCTGTCAATTTGTGTTATTGTATTTTTTAATCGCTAAATTAGTGTTTTGCCCGAACATTGTACTTGTATCAGTTACTTGACAAAAACATATTAGCTGTTTAAGGAAAATGTACTTTTCATATCATCTCTAACTCTATAGAAGAATGGCATCAAGAAAGCTAAAAAAAATTTCTACTGTAAGGACTAAAATAAAGAGTATATTAAAATAAAGTTTTTAATATCAAAGAAAATATTCAAATATTTTTCGTGTGATGCCAAATTTGAAAAAAGTATAAAAAGTCAAAATTTTACGGTACACCTTGTATAATAGAACATTTTTTGGCTTCTTCACTCTCTTGATAATTTCCAAGCATTTCATAAAAAACTTATGGAATAAACAATAAATTATTCGACATTCTGGTCTTTGCCTGAACTTTTCGTCACTTTGTACTTTTCGGGATTTTTCTTTCTTGTCTTTTGACTTTCCAATTTCAATTGTTTCTCTCTCAATTTGTTTCCGTTGTATTGTTTCAATAGCTTATTTAGCAATTGAACCTGTAGACTTTTTAAGCTTGGTTTTAGTGGCTTTCAGTGCTTTCATATAGTTAAGGTCCACAATTTTTTATTTTGCTAAGGAAGTCAAGGATTTTACCCAGTTTGTACGAACAAACTTCGACTCTTTATTTTATTTGTTTTAATTTTTTTGCAATTGATCAATGTGTGCGGTTATTTGCTATACAGTCTGCCTTATCAGTCTTCTTCTGCATAAATCAATATTCAATCTCTTTGTAAAGAAATGCAACACAAACACATATCGTTTGGGGCAAAGCCGACATTCTCAAGTTTGGCTTTCGCAAAGTAAATTGAATGTTTATTTGAAAAAAACGTTTCTTACCACTTCTTGTGTATTTTTCATTTGGGCAGTGGCTTTCCACCAGGTAATTATGGGTTCAGGTCGTGAGCCAACCACTTCGCACTCCAATTTGTATGATTTTGTTGCAGAAAGTGGTTTGTTGTTGCCCCTAAGGCGCATCCAAAGCGGTTTGACTGCAAAACAACAAGAGAAAAATCAGTATTCACTTTTTAATCAAACACCAAAAATAAATTTCCTGTTCAAAGTAGGATTGCATGTTTTGACCAAACTGCTATAGAATCGACTTGTTTCAAGTTAATTATACATAATGGAGTATGGATGGGACTAGTTTAATTACAGAACCATAAAATGGTCGTTTCCAAGCGCGCACAATAGATGAGCTTCAGGATGCGGAAAACATGTTCCCGAGTGCATTGAGGCGCTCCTGTTTCTCTCTATATTTTTCCGCTAAAGTTGGCTGAGATAATGCAACTTCTGGATAAAATGTATCTGCTTTAAGCCACGCCACTTTATGACTCTCGCGAAATTTAATAGACGCCATTATTGCTATTGGTTATAATAATCAACTAGTAAGGAGTTGATGTCGATAATCAGCTGCAGAATATTTAAGTTAAATTGGGAAAAATATTGCATTTCACAATGTGCTCATAAATAATTTCTAATCGCACCTGCGTCAGCTTTGTCGATGATTGATTGTTGGGAAACCAGCGATCAATTATAGTTCTTGTAGCGAATATTTGGCTTGGTAACTTTTACAATTAATGAGTTTACCAGGGACGGCAATTAATTATTTTATTACGCCCTTAGACGAGGTTTAACATCATTTAAGGAAATTGCTAAACGGCTTTACATGAACAGTGTTGATCAATAATCGTCTCAGCAGCATGCAACTACGATTTATTCATGTTTGGTTGATGAATACATTCGGATTCTTGAGTTTAACTACTCGTTTAACTACGTATGAAGTACATACGATTAAAGTGTTTATTGCATTTACATAATTTTTGTTTGATTTTTTACTGTACGTCTTTAACTCCTGCAAGAACCATTCTAAATTGCCACCAACGTTCTATTCATTCTAATAATGTTTTATAGTTATTGGAAACGACCTGGACGCTTGTTTGTCTTGTTCGCATCTAAAAAAATATATTGATAAATACAAAACATGTAAATGCGAAAATGCAAGCTTACTTATTTCGTCTTTTTTAAAAATGTTCGGTTTGGTTTATAGAAAGGTTGGTGCGAGTAAGTTTATGATATTAGTATATAGTTTATTTTAACGTTTACAGCCGACATTATGCGATCCATAAAAAAACGTTGATAGTCGAGATAAATATAATTAACTGTACATGGTATGACTTAATGATGGCTGCAAATCAAAGAGCGCTAACCTGGACTAAATTTAATTAGGAAGGTCTAAAGCGTCTCGCTTTGAAGATTGCAACTAGGTTATGAGTATATTTTTCAATCAAAACAATTCAAGTTTCGAATAATCTTCATATAATTTTTCGCAAGTAGTGCCTGGAAAACGTAACTTTCTTTGCCTGAACTCAGAATTCTAAGAGACATCAAAAATCTTCTAAATAGATACTATGTATAACTAAATCCTTAAATTCTAGTCAAAGAAATGTCGATAATAAATAGCGGGGTATTTGCAAGTTGAAACTGAATACTTTTTCAGGCTTTCAGGCCGGCGTGGAAAAGGACATGACATGCACGAGTTGCTTGCATACTGAGAGGTTTTCTACTGAAACACAACGTCAGGGAGAAAATATTTTCTATACGGACCTAAAAGCCCAAAAAGGTTCCAGTTTCCAGCTATGGCCGCGAAAAGTCTATAAAAGCCCTCTTGGTATTTTATAAATTTCATTTATTATTCACCAGATATAATACGCATTTGCGTAATTGTTTTAATAAACAAAAACTACAACATATATGGCACATAAAATATTAATAGTGATGCAAGCTGCAGATCAAAACACAGCTCTCTGACTAATTTAAAAATATTTGTAAATTTAATGTTCTTTAAAATTGATCTGCCCACCACATTTCGTATTTATGCTAAGTTTTCTAATAATCCAATACATTTTTCCATAACTGATCAAAACAATCATGTAGGTGTGACCCAAAGATTTTCCCGCACTTTGTGCGAAAGTTTTTCTAAATCAGCAGACAACTTGTCAACTCTTCCAGAAAGTTCTGTGTACTTGTCCATGACTGAATCCAATTTGTGTTCCAAATAAGGCGTTTTGTGATCATGTTTCGTGGTTTTTATCTTTTCATTGAGCACATTTAATTCCTTTGTTACATTTGAATACCATTCCGTGTGGTTGGACTGTACCTGATTGCTGGAGATTTCTAAATTATCAACTTCTGATTTCAATTTGGTCAAAGCTGCATCGAAGTGATTTATCTGCTCATGGATGTGATCTGCGACTTGAGTAAATTCCTTAGATTGCTGTTCATGCAAAGTGTTCATTTCACTTTTCAGGTTGCTGGTAATTCCTTTAAGTGCGGAATCTATGTAATAAAGGTGAGATTTTTGTTCGTTTTTCAAATGTTCAATGCCCGATTGCACATCGAAAATTCTATTTTGTAAATCGACATTTTTCAAATTGACTCCGTCTGCTAAATTTTTGATTTGTTCGTTCAACTTTACATCTTGAATTATCATCTCTGCCTTTGAATCATTAAGCTGACTGCTTAAATTATCAACAGTGAGTTTATTAGCAGACAGTCCACTAGTGACCTCAGTTCGGGCTGATGCAACTTGTTCCTCCAACGATAAAATACTTTCGTTCTGTTTGGCTTCGTTGTTAACGACTTCTGATTTAAAGCTTTCGAAGTCTTCAGTTAGATACATGTTATATTGGCTTTGTGTTTGTTCAAGCTTGTCGATGGCATCTAGAGCTTTGTTTAGACGTACTCTATATGCTTCCTGCTGGCTCTTCATTTCTTCAATAACAATTAAGAGTTCTTCGATTCTTTTCCTGCTTTCATCGCTTTCTTGTTTTGTAATCGTTGCTGCTGGCTCATCAATTATCTGGGCGATCCAGTCCGAAAACGACGAAACGTATAAAATCTTGTCAGTCTCAGAACAATCTGCTCCTCTCACTGTGCATGGCGGTGTGGTTGTTTGAAATCCTATAATGTTCCCATCCAGGCTGATAACGTTTCCCAAAATATCCAGCTGATTTTTAGGATGCATCCACTTAATGCAGCCTTCCTGGCTTTCCAGTATAAATGTATTAAAGTAGTAGTTGCACGTATCTTTGTTGCGTATTCGCACTTGGGTGGTTAGCAGATCCGAGTTTAAAGAATGCTTCCAGCCAGTGACGTTCACGGATTTTTCTTGCAGCTGCTGGACTTCTTTGTTGCTCATCAGCTTACCTGGCTGGATATTTTCGGAAGTTGGTACTGGATTGGCCAGTTTTATTAGAACGATGTTGTTCAAGTAAAATTTGTCGACTATTTGGCGAAAATCTGCATGGAAAACTACATAATAGGATTTTATCGTTAGGCCTTTTGGATCTAGAAGGTTCTGTTTGAAGTGGGGAAATCGACTGTAGCCAAGGTGCACTGTTGCAGGCTGTGTCCTGCAAAAAAGTGTTTTCTATTATATTTGGGTTTAGTTTGAAGCCCGTAAGAACATGAAAAAAAAACCGCCTATATTTTGACCTATTTGTTGTGAATGAGCACTAAATCACTCATAATTATCAAAGATCCAAATTTACTAACCTATCTATGCAAGCTGCTGGAGCGACTACGTATTGTGTACTTATCAAAAAACCTGTACATTTATATCGACTTTCCACAAACGCTATGAAAGGAAACGCTTCTGGTAAGGTGTTCTTAAAACAAAAACCATTTTAGACAGTTGTTCTAAAATATAGCTTTAAATTACCTTAAAACAACTAATTCCGGTCAATATTGCAACTAGCAAACATACACTTAAACGCGTCTTCATTGTTATGGTCACTGCTTTGAAACAACACGTTATGGAGCACTTGTTCTCGTATCTTTTCACTGTTAATTAATTTAAAGATTATTGCTGTATTGGTAGTGTTATCTATCAGGTTAAGGTTATGGGTCATATTTTCGTTAATCGTGAATAATTTACAGGAAAATCCAATTGCTGTTGGTTGTTTCTGTGCTTTCTGGCCGCAAATATAAACGTTAGTTGGTCAAAATTATGCTTACAAACGGTGAAATCCAGGATTCGTCTTTAGAAATTAAACTTTTGCCAATTAATTGTTAAAGTTATAGTTGTTAACTAATAATTAACTGTGATTTATTAGGTTGTGAATATTTGATTTTTTCAATTACTTTGCTGCAATATTTTACCTATTTTGTTTCATTATTTTTTTAAATCGATTGTTTGATTAATTTCTATGACTTATTTAAGACATTTCAGGATTCTTCGTCATTTTATAGAATCATTTTTGCAAATTTTTAAACGGAAAGAGGGAAAATAAACTGTTCAACAAAGTCAACCTTACACTGACAAATTTGAATTAACTTTGGAACTAGATACATTCTGAATTTATGATGCAAATTAATTTATGTTTGATGGTTTATTTAGCCTGATTCATTTACGGTGAGTGCATGGTTTTGTAAAAAATTAGTGCATTAGATAAAGTTTCTACAAGGTGGCAAATGAAGCAATGTAAAACTGGTGAAAGTTTCGGCGTATTCTCAGTTGAACCAAAATATTTCTTTATATGTATGGTGTATTTTAACACCACTACCAGTAAGATAGAACTGATATCTCGAAATAGTTCATATTTTTGCCCATCTCCTTTATTTACAGGGTGGCCTTAAATAAATCAACTTTCTAGTTTTGCAGTGATCATTTCTTTCCTTCTAAACCCATTTTCAAAATTTACGTTTTATGTTGAAGCTTAATCTTCAAAGTGAACTTAAGAAAACTATAATTCAATAAACCGGGTTGCATGAATGAACGAAATATCTGAACATATGCGTCACTCAGTTGAAAATTATATAGGATTTTCGCGTTAAATCGCTTATGAAGTTTAAAGAAAGAGAAGCTATTGTTGCAAAATACCAAAAAGTTGATTTTTTAATTCCCTCTTGTAAATAGAATAGAAATTCAAAAAAGTTTCGAGTCATTTGGTTTATCTTCAAACTTTTGATGTTGGGATCCAAAAAACTGTTTTTTTTTTATTCAACTGAAAGCATCCGAACTTTCACAACGGTACATTTTTAAATTGCCGCCCGGTAAAAAATTCAAAAAAGGTTTAAAAAAATGGAGTGCAGCATCACAATCAAGGTTTAAATGAAAGGATTAACACAAAAAATCGGTATTACAAAAAATATTTTAAGAGACAAATGGTCAGTTGTTAGGATTAATTTTAAAATATCCTAAATAAGTTTTCCAAGTTTAGCTGCAACAATTCAGATTTAGAGTAAAATTGGTTCCTTTTACCACATCGAATTTTTATTTGCAAATCCTGGACGAAAATAACAACGAGATGTTAAGCAAAATGAGAAGTACAAAAAGATAAAGTCCGAAATTTTTAGGAAGCGTTTTGTAAATGAAGCTGTTTCTGTTTGGTACTCTGACACAAAGTTTTTCGCCCTTAAAAAAATAAATAATTGGAAAACCGTTATGAGACAACAAAAACTGGTGAGTTTTTCGGTCCTTTGGGTCGTTGTGTAAAATAATTTCTCTCTGACGTTTCGCAAGCATAAGTGCATGCAATGGCGGTAGACCTTTTCTTCTCCTGATAGGTGTATAATCTATATTAGATAATAGTGAAACTTTATTTGCGGTAAAAATTAGTAGCGGGAATCTTTTGGGAAACTTAAAAATTTTTAGTAGTTGCAACAGGATGAAAGCATCCATATATCTCTTTTGAGATGCTTTCACATCGTTCAGCAGTTTTCATTCACAAAATCTCAATTTTCTTATTGGAGCAAACATGTACAATATGCAAGTCGAGGAATAAAGAAGAAGCGTAAACCCAATGAATTTTAAAATTCCCATTTTGCCCCAAGTCTGTTTGTTTTCGATAGAGGTTAATATTCAAATCCTTTTATATTTGAAAGTTGCGCTTCTGCATCGCGCCAATACCGATTTTACGGTGTTGGTTCGCCTTTCCAAGTTTACTCGTTAATAATTGCATTCGCGAACTCGGCTGCTTTTCGAAAGCCCTGAGATTGCTGATGTTATTGCTGTGTACCTACTCGTAGCTGACGATGAAAATGCCAGTGTATCAGCTTTAAAGCGGACTATTTTTGGATGACGCTATTAAACCAGCTTCCACCCTATGCTTAGCTCGCATAACAACGTTCCATCGAACATACCGAAACTCACCTGCCATCACATGTATAGGCGAAATAATTTGATCAAGTCAAAATAAACTCAGCCCCTGAAGAAGATGCATTATTAAATTGTCAAACATTTCAGCGGAGCTATACGATCACTTCTAGTAGCAGAACGTTTTATTGGATTTTTTCGTTTGAACCGCAAAAAAGATGATATTTTTCTCAGTGAAAAAGACAGGAGAAAATGGGATAAATTGAATATGACTAAGGGGATTTTATGTTTGATTCTTCCTGCTGGATCACATATCATCGAAAATGCGTTTACATTTGTCTTTTCAGAAAAACAATTTTACGGTGCTTATGCTTATTGAAACAGATGTCGAGTTTTGCCATGAGAAAGTAACAGTTTCGTATCGTCAAATATTTAAATATTTTGACAAATTTAATTTATTTTAACAGGAATTTTTATTACACTTGTTATAATCACTTGTTATAATCACCCGTTGATTGTCCAAGCGAATTTTCCGCTAGATTTGAAAGGAAATATTGCTGACGAGACAGATCCAAGAGCACAAAAGCGCACGGACCAATTTCGTCTAATAAATTTTAAAATTTCAAATTTTCCCCCGACTCTGTTTGCCGTCGATAGAGGTAAATATTCAAATCCCTTTATACTGGGAATTTTACGCTACTTCGAAGCGGCAATACGGCAACACCAGTTTAATATTGCGGTTCGGTCTTTGACTTTGTCAGCCTTGTCTTTCAAAGATTACATTCATAAAATCCGATCGTTAAAGTGCATTTTTCAGATGTTTTCAATTGAAAATAATTCGATTGTTCAATGCAGCAAACAAAAAGGCATTCAGGTTGAGATTTTAGGAAATACACACCTTGTATTACCAGATAGAATAAAGTAAACACCACTTTTTTTTTGATTGTGTGATCATTCGATCAATACGCAAAACAATGTGAAAATTGAATTAAAAAAGCGAACACATTGAAATTCGCCTTTTGTCTGAAATACAAAAGTAACTGTATTAAACTCGAGACGTTTTCCTGTTTGCAAAGACTTACTTCCGACCATCGAAGCTCGCAAAATCCAAAAGCACGACTCTTGTATTAAATTGCTAGTATACATTGCCTTTTCGACTAAATCAAATATAAAAGCATTTAAATATTTACCGTCATCGAGAGAGCAAACTGCGGCAGTAAATTTAAAATGTATATACGTTCATAATTTGCTTTTGCGTTACGTCGATTCTTTTTTGTGTTGTGCAGTAAAAACCAGGGATCAAAGCAAAAATTAAAAGAAGCTTTAGAAAATATCACTTTGAAAGGTCTACTGGGGGAACCGGAAAAAGTTTAATTACAAATCCGAGTGCTCTGTATAGCGAATAAAGCTTTCACAATTGCAAAGGTCAGTCTATATTAATTAAGCTCGTCATTTATTTATTATCAATGGGCAATAGTAGAAGCTGCTTAATTCCCTGTTTAACATAGTTGAGCAGAAAATAGAAACTGTGCAATCATCTGCACGCTAAAATATTACACATAATTATTTTTTATTTAAAAAATGGAATATTAAAAACTGTGCTGCAGGATAAAATATATTTGAAAAGCGAATGAGTTGAATAACGCCTTTCAAAAGTTTAATAATACAGGGAGTTCAAATTATTTGTGCTCAGAATGCACAATTCGGTCGCTACTCGAATAAACCAGCGAAATATGTATTGTTTCATAAAATTCGTATTTCATATTAAAAGGAACCAATTAAAACTCGCCACCATACTTGCACCATATCCCTATCTAATTCTTGTTTAAACGGCGTGCATCTAATTTGGCTCAAATTGTAACATTTTATTATATTATGCGAGGTTGTTTTGAAGGAGATGAAAAATAAACAGCACCGCATCCGCATCGAGGTTTCACCGCAATGCTTCCCAGTCCTTTATACTGAGCTAATTAATCGTCTGGATGGATGTAAAAAGTTTCATAATTACATGAATAGCTGGTTAGGCGTCAGTGTTTTACTTTGCGGGAGCAGTCTTTTATTAATTACGGACACAAATTGGCGTTTGAGGCTTGGAGGCATCAAAAGTGGCCGTAATTGGCTAGAAAGGGTCTAGAAATCTGAACTTCGTATTGAAGTTTTCTACAAGAAACAGTCGCTGTTTGCATAATTTCGCAAAGTTTTCAAACTTGATTTTCTTCAGAGATCTGCCCTCTTTAATCGTGTTTCTCGCTATTAGTGCCCGAAACGGCCCAAAACAAATATTTGCGTCTGGACAGTTTGAGGCAACGGCCTCCTGCGGATTATATTTCGTCCTGTTTGCGCTTTTATTCGCCCAAAAACCCTACGGTTGATGGCAGACGACAAGGATATCTGATCACTGGGGAAAATCAATATTTGTCATTGTATTACGAGCTATCGGGATTTTTAGGGAAAAGTTACAAATATGCAAGTTCAATACAGCATTTAGCGAGTTGCATCTGTATTTCAAATTATTTCAATGTCTGGTTCAGTCGTACAAAGCTTTTGGAACGTTTCATAGGCATCGATTTTGTAACATGCCTCAAAGGAATTGGAAAAAAAGCAAAAGCGTACAAGCACATACAAATGAGTTTCATAAAAAAACAGGAGCAAGACGAGCTTAATTGCACTTTGTAGGTTTTTTCAAACAGGAGCTTATTGATTGATTTGGGTTCGCAAAGCTTGGATAATTAAATTATGAGCATTTGCTGCTGATCACTTAAAT